GATGTTGAGGCAGTTATATATACATGCGTAGCTGCACTTCAGGGAATATGTGTGGGCTAGAAATAAACATTTGGGTGTTAATACGTACAGGTGACATTTAAAGCCTCCAAACTGGATGAGATCACTTTAAAAAGCTCCTTCTACATGCCACACATTGTGCTAGTCCCTGTAGAGATATATTTAAAATTGTGTTTGTCCTCCAAGAGCCTATGGTCTACTAGAGGAGGTGGATGTAAACAGTTAATGCTGTATAAAAGTATACTAATACAAATACATATCAAGTATACTAAGATAAATACATATCAAGTACAGATGATTCAGGGAAGTCAAATCTGAGTCATCCTAAACTCCGTCACCCCCAAAGTCACTCATTCAGTGGCCCGACCATGAGACATGCACGGAAGAAAGTCACAGCGTGGTACCTTTTATATCAGCTGACTTCTCCACTAACCCACTGTACCCAGCATGTTTATAGTGATATTGGAGAACCTAGCTGGTGACACTTCTGCATGGCTTACAGGCCTCCTTATTATTTGCCCTTTGCCTTATCTCTTGCTTTACTTCCTCAGTTCTGTCCCTAGTGACAGAGATGATCGATTTCTTTTTGTTTAATTGAAGTATAGCTGATGTACAATATTATATGTTACAGGCGTATAATATTAGTCTTTCACAGTTTTAAAGGTTATTCTCTATTTATAGTTATTATAAAATATTGGCTATATTCCCTGTGTTGTACAATATGTCCTTGTAGCTTATGTTATGCATAATAGTTTGTACCTCTTAATCCCCTATCCCTATATTGCCCCTCCCCACTTCTCTGGACTGGTGACCATTAGTTTGTTCTCTATATCTGTGAGTCTGCTTCTTTTTTGCTGTGGTCACTAGTTTGTTGTATTTTTTAGATTCCACATGTAAGTGTATTCCACATGTAAGACAGTATTTGTCTTTCTCTGTCTGACCTATTTCACTTAGCATAATACCCTCCAGGTCCATCCATGTTGCTGCAAATGGCAAAATTTCCTTCTTTTTTTAGGGCTGCAACTCTGTATTTTTGAAACACCACTCTGCCTATAGAGTGAAAAATGAATTAGGAGAGGGAATGAAACAGACATAGTTTGCTATTTATTAGCCTCAGCCTGCCTTCACATTGATATTTAGTGACTTATAAAGACTTGAAGGGTTGGAATTCCCTGGTGGTCTAGTGGTCAGTACTTGGCACTTCCACTGCAGGGGGCACAGGTTTGATTCCTGGTTGGGGAACTAAGATCCCACATGCCGTGTGGTGTGGCCGAAAAACAAAAAGACCTGTAGGGTAGAAAAGGTATAGTAGGTATGCAGAAATGGAAAGTGTATGTTGCTATATAATGCAATTTTTGGGATAAAGGGAAATTTTCTAGTAAATGCATGCAGTTGCAAACTTTACCCTCTTCCCTCCTGTATGTCATATTAAAAGGTAACCTGGGGCTTCCGTGGTGGCGCAGTGGTTGGGAGTCCGCCTGCCGATGCAGGGGACGCGGGTTTGTGCCCCGGTCTGGGAGGATCCCACGTGCCGCGGAGCGGCTGGGCCCGTGAGCCATGGCCGCCGAGCCTGTGCGTCCGGAGCCTGTGCTCTGCATAGGGAGAGGCTGCAACAGTGAGAGGCCCGCATACCGGAAAAAAAAAAAAAAAAAAGGTAACCTGAATGAATGGCAATTCCTCAAAAAAAATCAAACATAGAATTACTATAGGGTCCAGCAATTCTACTTCTGAGTATATACAAGAATTGAAAGCAAGGACTCAAACAGATATTTGTACATCAGTCTTCAAGGCAGCATTATTCATAATAGCCAAAAGGTGGAATCAACCCAAATGTCCATGGGTTGATGGGAGGGATGAATGGATAAGCAAATGTGGTGTGTACATACGATGAAATATTACTTAGCCTTAAAAAGGAAGGAAATTCTGATACATGCTACAACATGGATGAATCTTGAAGACATGTTAAGTGAAAAAAGCCAGACACAAAAGAACAAATATTGAACAGATCCATTTATATGAGGTACCTGGAATAGTCAAATTCATAGAGACAGAGAATAGAATAGCAGATACCAGGGGCTGGGAATGGGAGATGCATACTGGCACAGAGTTTCAGTTTGTGAAAACATTCTGGAGAAAGGATACAGTGGTGGTTCTTACACAACAATATGAATGTACTTAATGCCACTGAACTGCATACTTAAAAATAGTTAAAATGGTAAATTTTATGTTATATATATTTTACCACAAAAAAAGTGACCTGGAAATACCATGGAGCTGTAAGAAAGAACAGAAGGATTTCTATAAACTAATATTGTACTGGTAATGAGAGATTTACAGGATAAAGTTAAAAATAAATAGGTACTATCTTTTGTGTAAATATTCATATTTGCTTTTATTTGCATAAACAAACACTGGAAAGATTAACAAGTAACTAATAAAAGTTGTTACTTCTAGGAGGCAAGAGGGCCTGTGGTCACTGGAGGCAGGAGTGATAATGAGACATCTCAATGTATCTCCTTTTATGTACTTTTGATTTTTGAACTATATAGATGTATAACCTATTCAAAATAACGTTCAAACATAGTACTTAAGGGCTTCCCTGGTGGCGCAGTGGTTGAGAGTCCGCCTGCTGATGCAGGGGACACGGGTTCGTGCCCCGGTCCGGGAAGATCTCACATGCTGTGGAGCGGCTGGGCCCGTGAGCCACGGCCGCTGAGCCTGTACGTCCGGAGCCTGTGTTCCGCAACGGGAGAGGCCACAACAGTGAGAGGCCCGCGTACCACAAAAAAACAAAACAAAACAAAAAAACAAAACAAAAAAACATAGGACTTAAGGTAGATTCATTGTAGAGGGATCAGTAATTTGTAGTCACAAAAAACGTAAGTTTTTTAGAGGTATTGATTAAATATTGCTACATGTGACGTGCCCTCTCCCAGACAAGTGGGGTCCAGGGTTCAGGAGTCTGTGCCAGTGTTTGGTGTTTCAAGAGCCTGGTTTAGATGCAGAAGTGAGTTTCACCTTTCCTTCCCCTGCAAGCAGGAAAGAGAACATATATTCTGGGTAGACACTTAATAAAATCAAATTCTCTAAGTTCATCAATAGCAAGGTTGACCATGGCAAGTGGGGTCATCATTAAACACATTATTTGACTGAGTCTAGGAGCCTAAAGCATTCAATAAGCAGGAAACTGTCTGAATATAGCTCTGCATTAATCTAAAATGCCACTTTCTCTGATTCCATCATTAATTAGGAACATATGATGTGTAACATTTGCATCTGAAGCCAGAAGCAGGACTGCTTAAGATTTCTTAGGCCATGGGAGCAGAGACAGTAGCTGATAGCTGAGCACCCACCTAATTCTGCACCCCCCAACCCTACCACTCAGCAAGGGAGTAGGACCGTTGTATCTTCTCTGGTCATTTTTCTTCCAGCTCCTTCTTTCCCACCTATATCCAACAGGAAATACAGGTAGAATCCTGAGGCAGGCTGTGAGAAGTAAAGGCCTGCTAGGGGCAGCTCAGCCCATCCTACTTTTCTTTCTTAGCTGTGTTCCAGGGCATATGGTTTGGAGGGAGAACCCAGGGAGTCACATCTGGGAATCATGCCCAAGTTAGAGCTGGTAGAGCACTTTCCAGCAAGGTTGTCAAGGTGTAGGTGAAGAGAAAGCTGAGTGACAGAGGCATAATGAGAGAATTGAGAAATCTGTCATTGAAAGTAGTGAAGAAATACACAACTGGGAAGTGGCCTATAAAAGTTCCAGAGGTGGAGTTCAGATGACTTTGACATGATTCCAGCACAAGCATTTTAGGTATGCGCTACTCATTTAAAGTTATTAAGATGGCTAAGTGATTTATTTCTCTCTGCCTCGTTGATCTATTTGTATGTCTGTCTTCCCTACCACATTGTAGGAATTGAAGACACTTTAGCTGAACTGGAAAAAGCATGGACTTTGGAATCAGGCAGATCTATTTAAATCCAAACCTCTTCTCTTTCTAATGTTGAACTTTGCTCAAGTTATTTTTATTACACTGAACCTCAGCTTCTGTGTGCATCATAGTGTTGTTAGGAGGATTAAGTGTGAGAAGAACAATTTATATACTCTCCCTTTTTGTATCTTCCACAGAGCTTTACATTTAAAAGGCATTTGAAATATTTATCAAACTGAGTATGTTTCTACCTATTAAGTCTGAACCCTGGTTAAGGACAGCATGAGGCAGGCATATTTATAAGGCTTTCACCTTGAGCAGCTAACGTTATTGTTGCTAAATATTTTATCAAGCAACTGCCTGTTATGTGCCAAGTACTAAGTTTTCACTTGCTGATCTGGCCTATCTTTCCTTCTTATTATCAGAGTCCAGCTGGAAGCTTTCTGCTTTGTGTAGGCCTATTCTCTTCCCTATTTACAGGACCTCTTCTCCACACCAATTTTTATCAGTGGGTTTGAGAGTCATTGCCTTATGCTCATTACTCTTCTAAAAAACCTCAGTCTCATGCTCTAGGCATGGATAAGTTAGGGATTGTTAAATATCTTTCCTTCTTTTGTCTGATATTTATTGAGCACATACTGTGCTGGAGTGGATACAAACAGTATTTCTGCTTCCCAAGTTTTTCCTCTAGTTAAAAAAAAAATACGCACATGGAAAATATATTTAATTATTTAGCAATATGATATTACTTTTGCTTTTACTATTTTACATTTTACCATGTAAAAGGATCCCATTTTAAAAACACACACATACACATAGAAAAAGGATTGGAAAGAAATGCACCAAGATGTTAACAAAGCTTATCTCTGAGTAGCGGTATTTGGGTGTGCATGTGTGTGTGTGTGTGTTTAATGTTGCTTATCTGGATTGTCTAAATTTTCAAAAATTTCATTTTGAAGTTATGGGAGTTAAGGCAAAACTAGCAAAACTAGCATGCCATCATCCCCCCTCCCCTTGCTAACAGGATAGTGACCCCTCTCTTCCTCTTGCATTCAGCTTTTGCGAGAATTGAAGCACCCTAATGTGATCGCCCTGCAGAAGGTGTTCCTTTCTCACAGTGACAGGAAGGTGTGGCTGCTGTTTGATTATGCCGAGCATGATTTATGGGTAAGTCTAAACTCACTTTATTTTTAGGGTAATTTTATACAGGTATGAAGAAATAAATGTATGTGTTCCATACTGCTAATGCACAGAAAGGAAAACTTGCTCTGTTGACCATAGTTCAAAATAAATATACTAAATGTAAATTTTGATTTAAAAGAATTAGAGCAATAAACATTAACATCCTTTTTTACTGAGAAGATAGTATTTGTAACATTCAGAAATTTCACTTCAAAAAATCTTACTGAGTGGGAAATTGTAATTTTATGCAAGTAATTAATGGCAGTTTACTAATATGTGTAATGAAAATTGCTTTCTTTTGTGGTCCACACAGTAGTTCAAATTTAACCAGTTATGTACCTGTGAATAGTTTCTCTCTCTAAATTAAGGTCAATCTTGCAGCATTTTGCCATTTAAAATGGACTCCACCAAATGGAAGAATACCTACGGTTTTGCAAATATTAGGGTTGTTTTTATCAATATATAAAAGAAGCCAAAATTTTTAATTCCAAATGTTTAAAGTTAGGAATCAGGGCATTTAAACATTTTATCCCAGGAGTTGCCAAAAGTAAAAAAATTCCAATTTGGCAGTAAGTTCAAATTTTGGATAATTAAATTTTGATTCAATATAGTGTGGTTTGTCATCTGTAAAAATTGTAAATCTTTTTAGGAATAACTTTAGCAAACTCATAGGTCTTGAAGGAGATTTCAGTTTATGCTTTTATAGCAGATATTGACAACAATCTCCTCTGCCATGGATATTTATTACCCATTTTGGCATGTTTTGGACAAGGGTGGAGTGGAGATAGAGGTGGATGTGAGGGGTGGGCGCAGGTAGAATTTCTTCCCCTTCATTACAAAGTTTTTATAACCCACAATGTAACATGTGTACATAAAAATTTGAATATGATGATCTGGTTGTATTTATTTCAGTGGGACTGAATTCTCCTTTTTTCTCTCCCTGCTCCTTTCTAGTAGTGATTTGCTATTTAATATTGACTACTAAGAATATATCCTAATTTCATTATGTGCCAAAGAAGGTGAACTTTCCAATAATTCTAATAATACATATAGCCAGTGATGTTACCCAAATGCACTAACTTTATAGAATAGGAAAGATTTACAGGGTTTTTTTCCTTTTGTTTACTCTTTCTGTCAGTAGGGAATACAACTAATACAATTTTTTTGGCAGGTTTTTAAATACCAACACTTTTTACTTCTTGGTTTTATTTGATGAAAATCTTAATGGTTTCAGTAAATCTAGTCATTATAACCACATTAATACTGTCATATTTACCCTCAATATAGATTCTGTTTTGGTTTGATCTTATTATTCAAATTATTTTTCTTTGTGTCATTATTGGCCTTTAATAAGTAATCTTAAAATGTAGAGAATTTATTGCAGCCTTGATTGTGTTTTATTGACACAGGCAAAGACTATGTTATTATAATATATATTTTTTAATTTTTAGCATATTATTAAGTTTCATCGTGCATCAAAAGCAAATAAAAAGCCCATGCAGTTGCCAAGATCTATGGTTAAATCATTACTTTACCAGATTCTTGACGGTATCCATTACCTCCATGCAAATTGGGTGCTTCACAGAGATTTGGTAAGTATGTTTCTTTTAAATCGCTCAATATGTGTCTTTCTCTTTTCAGAAATATCTTTTCTTCTTGGTACAGTTACGATGAACATGAATTATAGAAAAATTTGAAAATGCACATAAGCAAAAAAGAAGGAAATAAAAATCACCATAAGCCTATGATCAAAAGATTACCATTATTAACTTTTGGTGTATATTCTTCCCTTACATTTATGCACAGCTATAAAATGTCATTGTGATTTTCAACAAATGATTGGCATAATCTTTTTTTTTTTTAATTTTTACTGGAGTATAGTTGATTTACGATGAGCATAATCTTAATGGGATGGCCATATGTGAAACAAGTACCTTTTGATTCATTTTGTTTTTCGTAATTTTGCTCACCATTAGTAAACAGTTTAATAATTAAAGACTGAGTTCACATTGTTTTCAAAGCTAAACTGAAATAATGACACTGCCTCCAGTAAATAGAATGTTATTAGTATTAACAATAAGTAAATAAGTAACTCTAACAGGGGGAATATATCAATACTTATTAGGCATATTATCCATAATTCAAATGTTTGATGTTTGGTTTTACTTTTTTACTCAGTACACATATAACAAACATTTATTAATGTCAAGTTATTTTATTCATCTTTTCATTGTTATCATTTTAGTTTATGTTGATGAGATTTTTTGTTCTTAAGAAATATGGGTACTTAATAGCTGTAATACCACTGAGTTTATAGTTGCAAGTTTTATTTTGCTTAGGCTTTTGCAGATTCTAGGAATATAGTAGGGATAGATCTAGGTCGACTCAATTTTTTTAATTGAGGAGAAGTATTTATTATAGAAAGGAATGAATACATAAGGGGATCTAGATAGTACCCCTTGCTACCTTGTCAGTCAGGCCTAGTCTTCTGGCTTGAGCATCTCTTGATGTGGCATTGAAGTTACATTGGGGCCAAATGACAGGGACCACAAAGATGCATTTACCATTTCAACAGAAGCATTTCACCTCATAATTTTAAACTAAGATTCTCAAAGCCTTCCACTTATCCACGTTACTATTACCTGTGAATCAGCATGTTTTAAAATGATTCTTGGGTACATGAAGTTGTTCTAGGTCAAACCTTCCTTCATAAATGGTTTTAGATTTTAATTTGCTGTATATAACATAGCCTATGTGAGTTATATTTTTGAGGTCATATTCATGTTTGAATCATTGATCAGAATCCCTTACTGAAGATTAACTGATCTCAACTCTTCTCTTTTTGTCACAAAATTGTATATTTTGTTCTAAGTAGCATAGATTAACACATTTTATTTGTGATGTCACTGCCTGAATATCCAGTGGTACTAAAACCTAATATAACCAGGATTCAGTTTTCTCCCATCCAAACTTGCTGCTGCTTTAGTGTCCTCTATTTTTGTTATGGCAGCACCCGCCTCCTAGCCTAGAAACTTCTTTTACCACTTGCAGACCCTTGTACTCCACATCCAGAACTTGCCTAATCCTGTCAGTTTCACCTCTAAAATATCTCTTCCATTCATCTGTTTCCATTCCTAGTGCCTCATTCCTAGTTCATGCCTTTATTATCTTTCCCTTCCAGTCCACTTTAGATCTTCTGAATAATTACTCAGCCCCTGCTTAAGAACTTTGAAACAGTTCCTCATTGCTTACAGACTAAAGCTATAGTTCCTTTTTTGGCTTTTGAGGTCTTCTCAGGTATAGCTCCAACTGCCTTTAAAAATTCTCTTCTGTATCCCTGTAATCTTTTACTTACACTGTATGTTTAACTATTGATTGTTCCCTGGATCCTCCTGAGAGTTCCTGCCTCAGTGGCCTTTATTTCTTCTGCTAAAACTCCTTACCCCATCTCTTCATATTCAAGTATTACCTGTCTTTCAGGACCTGCACAAATGTGAAAACTTATCCTCATATCCATCATTACTTAGAAATAGTCTCTCCTCCTTGTTGGTTGCTGTTGTATTTCATCTTTACTTCTCTTCTGGCATCTACCTATTAATACTGTAGTAATTTATATAGATGTGTCTAGAAGATGTTCTAGACCATAAACTTATTGAGAGAGTGGGGTCTATGACTTATTTTGGTACACTACTGCTCCAGTACACAATAGGTACTGAGTAAATATTTCCTTAGTGAATGAATATCAGTAAGAATATTAATTACTACAGAATGTTTTTGGATCAGCTAACATATGTATTCAGCACACTTCTCAAATGAATTTTTATTATTTCCTTGTATGTGCAAAGCATGAAAGGGTGAGGACAGTACAAACATGACTGTATCAAGACCTTCTCAGGAGTTTAGTCTGAGAGAAGAAATAATGACATGTACACAAACAATTTTACTATCCGATAGACGAGAGAGAATGTGAACATGGCAATGTGAGAAGTACAGACTAAATGCTATTCAGGGTTAGAAGAGGTTCTGAGTGGGGGAATAAGTACAAGCTTCAGAGAGGTGCCATTTGAGCTGGACTTGGAAGGATGAGTAGAATTTAGAGATTTGAGAGATGAGGGTAACCTAATGAAGTGTTGGATGTAACATTTCTGAGGTGAGAAAGCACTTGAATTATCCCAGAAAGATTGTGTAGTTCTTTCTCGCTCAAAAATGGATAAGCTGAATTAGGGTAGTATGAAGTAAGACTAGGAAGATATGGGTTGGAGCCTGATCGAGGAAGGCCCTAATATCAGGCTAGGGAGTTTGTTTTTAAGTGCTAAAAGTTTGTGAGCAACAGAATGAAAGTTTTTTTTTTCCCAAATGAAATTATTTTTCCCCATTAAAGAAGCCCCATTGATTATTATTACTTCATCCATAGCATGGACACAATATGTATGTTTTTAATTAAAGTATAGTTGATTTACAATGTTGTGTTAATTTCTGCTGTACAGCAAAGTGATTCAGTTATATTTATTTATACACACACACACACACACACACACACACACACATTCTTTTTAAAAATATTCTTTTCCGTTATGGTTTCTCATAGGATATTGAATATAGTTCCCTGTGTTATATTGTAGGACCTTGTTGTTTATCCATTCTATACATAATAGCTTACATCTGCTAACCTCAACCTCCCACTCCATCCCTCCCCCAGCCCCCTCCCCCCTGGCAACCACCAGTCTGTTCCCTATGTCTGTGATTCTGTTTCTGTTTCATAGATAGGTTCATTTGTATCATACTTTAGATTCCACATATAAGTGATATCATATGGTATTTGTCTTTCTCTTTCTGACTTGCTTCACTTGGTATGATAATCTCTAGTTGTATCTATGTTGCTGCAAATGGCATTATTTCATTCTTTTTTATGGCTGAGTAGTATTCTATTTTATATACATACCACATCTTTATCCATTCATCTGTTGATGGACATTTAGGTTGTTTCCACATCTTGGCTGTTGTGAATAGTGTTGCTATGAATGTAAGGGTGAATGTATCTTTGTGAATTATGGTTTTGTCTGGATATGTTCCCAGGAGTGGAATTGCTGGATCATATGGTAACTCTATTATTAATTTTTTAAGGAAACTCCATACTGTTTTCCATAGTAGCTGCACCAACTTACATTCCCACCAACAGTATAAGAGGGTTCCCTTTCCTCCACACCCTCTCCGGCATTTGTTAGTTGTAGACTTTTTAATGATGGCCATTCTGACTGGTGTGAGGTGGTACCTCATTGTAGTTTTGATTTGCATTTCTCTAATAATTAGTGATGTGGAGCCTCTTTTTTTTTAATTAATTAATTAATTTTTGGCTGTGTTGGGTCTTCGTTGCTGCGTGTGGGCTTTCTCTAGTTGTGGCAAGCGGGGACTACTTTTCGTAGTGGTGTGTGGGCTTATCATTGTGGTGGCTTCTCTTGTTGCAGAGCATGAGCTCTAGGCATGTGGGCTTCAGTAGTTGTGGCATGCAGGCTTCAGTAGTTGTGGCGTGTGGGCTCAGTAGTTGTGGCTCGCGGGCTCTAGAGTGCAGGCTCAGTAGTTGTGGCACACGGGTTTAGTTGCTCCGCGGCACGTGGGATCTTCCTGGACCAGGGCTTGAACCCGTGTCCCCTGCATTGGAGGATTCTTAACCACTGTGCCAACAGGGAAGGTGGAGCCTCTTTTCATGTGCCTGTTGGCTGTCTGTATTAGCATGGACACAATATTGAAGATGTGTTCTAAAGGTGGTTCTGACCTAGTATAACACTTGTTTGTATTTTAACTATACATTCCCCTAGTGCCTCTACTGCTTAAGTAACTCTAATAAGATTTGAAACTTTAAGCCAGTAGGAATATAGTCTGTGATAGCCTACTCAATTCTTTCTCTGATCATGAGGCCTGCTATCTGGACCATATTGTCATATTGTCATGGTTTTGCCAAAGTATTTTCAGGAGTAGAAGATTTAAACTGTATGTTTACTTTATAGATATATTCAGTGGTAGATACAGAAAGAGTATGTCAAGTATGAATATGGTTAAAAGGGATATGTTGGAGACATTTGAAAAATTATTATTTTGTATGTGAGCTGAAGAGTAGAGTTGCAGTTTTAGTCAATGAGTAGGGTTTTTAAATGCTTCATTTATTATTATGATAAGGAATCTGGCTTTACACTATTTGTTAGTCACAACTGTTTCAGAGTGCATACCATCTCTAAATTTTCATTTGGTGTGAGAAACCTAGAAGATCCATACAATTAAAGGTGTTAGAGTAAATATAAATTTGCAGTAATAGTATAACCTAACAAATTTAAAAAGTAAATAAAAACCAGTGTTTTGGACTTCACACAAAGAAGCATTACATCATCAGTGAGGTTGGTGTTTTTCATTGTGATTGATTTCATATCTAGAACAGTATTTTAATTATGTCATTTGGATACTAGAATTTAATACAGAAATAGAGAATTTAAATAATGTCACCAAAAAGATGACTTATATTGAGGAATTGCTTTAAAAGGAAAGGAGAAAAGGAGCTAAATATATTCATCTTAGCAGAGAGACAGTTGAGACATAAGTT